TGTTCTTCGATTTCGCCGCGGCCTTCCCCTCCGTGGAGCACGAGTTTCTGCATCGTCTCTTCGCGGCGCTGGGATGGCCGCCGTGGTTGCTGCGGTTCGTGCGCGTCCTCTACCAGGCCAACGAGTGCCACATGGTCGTGGGGGGTTCGAGGCACGGCGGCTTCCCCCTGACACGGGGCATCCGCCAAGGCTGTCCTCTGTCACCGCTCCTCTTCGCGGTCGCCTCGGACGTTCTGCTCCGTCGGTTGCAGCGCTCTTTCCCGAGGGCCTGCATCCGTGCGTTCGCCGACGACCTCGCCATGGTTCTCGCCAAATTCCTCGCGACTGCCCCCGCTTTGGCCGTCCTGTTCCACGAGCGCGCGAGAATCTCGGGGCCGGCTCTGAACTTCGCGAAGGCAGTGGTGGTCCCACTCTTTGTCCACCATGCCGACGACTTCCGCCGGTTGCTGACCAGAGCGGCCCCGGCATGGGCAGGAGTAGACATCAGGCTCTGGGCGGAGTATCTGGGTTTCGTCCTCGGCCCTGGCCGCGAGGACAAGTCCTGGGCAGCCGCGCTTCGCAAGTATCTCGACCGGGCCAAGCTCTGGGGCGCGACAGGGGCCGGCTTGTGCACTTCACTGCTGGCCTAACAGGTGTTCGTTGCCAGCGTCCTCATGTTCGTCGGCCAACTCGACGCCCTTCCGGATACGTTTGAGGACCACGAGGCCCGGGCGTGCGCGGCGCTGATGTCCGTCCCAGGAGGCTGGATGTCCCCCAGGTGCCTTCGTAGACAACGTGACGTTGGATTTCCGGTTGAACCTCAAGATGTTCGAGCACGGTGTGTTGCCGCTAAAGCACGAGTCTGTTTATTCGAGAATCGTCAGCACGGGGGTTTTCGAGTCCAGGAACGGAGTGTGCGGCTTCAACGGGCGATCGCCGCAGCAGCTGGACAGCTGAGCACCCGCACGTGGCGAACTTGGCTGGACAATCTTTTCTTGTTTCAATTGGCGCATGCCGAGGCAGCGCTGAAGGCCGAGTGCGAAC